TTCAGTATATTCATCCTCTGCCTCGATTAAAGGCCATTTTTCGCATTCTTAGTTTACACCAGACCAGATCAGATATTTGACAAGTCTCGGCTTGATGAGATTTAAGTGCAGCTCTGCATTTTCTGGTCAGCTTATTCATACAATTTCTTGTCTTCCAACTTTGACTCCCACTTTGCGGAAATCATTTTCGTCAAAAACGGAACAAATATACTACAAAGAAACGACCTGCTGCAACTAAATATTAATTCGAGAAGAGATATGGTTTTTGACGGATGTCATTACTCAGAAAGAGACGCTTCGGTGCTGGCTGTTTCGGTGCAGAGCAGTAGCTGCTGTCAAAGACTAGCGTTGCTGCTAGCTTGAATCTGTGTAATTGGACAATGGTGTGGTCAACTGCATCCGCTATTTCGTCTAACCCCACGTTTGATAATTTTCATTTTCTGTTATTATTCCATGACGGTAGCGCAGAGCTGTTTAGTCGTTAGTTCGAATCCATTTACTTGACCGATGTTCATCCGTATCAATTGCCTTAACTCACTGTTTACATCAACCTCAATCAGTTCGCATGCTGGTTTCAACACTGCAAAGAAAATTCAGTTAGTTTATACCAATTAACTTATCCTACCTGCTCCACCTCAATAGATGTGCAGGTAAAAAAGGGAGGTTGGCCTCTGTTAGACAAACGGTTTGAGCATAAATCATGTAATCAAGCCCATTAACTTTCCTGTGGAAGACGTCCACAAGAAGGCCAGTGTGAAGCACGGAGGAATACAAAGATCGGCCTTCAGGTAGGAACTGTCTGATCATTCTATGAAGCAGTTACCGACGCCTTAGTGCAAAAGTATTGAATAGCTGTCAACACAGCGGACATCACAAATCCAGTACATTCTACAGTGGAAGAAGCTCAAGTTGATGATCTCAACACTGCCTCTGGCATTTAATGTGAAAACTACAACCTCCTGATATTCAACTTCAACAGAGTCACTGTTTCGGATGTTTCAGACAACAGAGAGTGAGTAAAACAAAGTTTAATGCCTATGCTAAATAAGATGTGAATGCAGTCAGATAAAAATGCCAGTATATCGGTCATATAAGTCTTTTCGGCACGTTTTGCTAATAAATGATTTTTGTCGCATCTGCAATTAGGCAATCTGCGTACAAACACCTAATCAATCTACAACTAACGCAAATAACAAAACTTAACAAAACAAACAAAACAATTAACTTAATTTCATCAAAGGCTTCTTTTTGGTGCAACCATTCCTATTTCTGTGCGATCTTTTTTTTTAGCCTTTATCTGTCCTCTAGTTCTGTCGAACTATCTTCCCGACAAACATCGTACTGCCTCAGATCTACTTCATCATTTCAAGCGATTCGCTTGGCGTTCTTACCAGCTCTTTTCGGGTATTCGCACAATCAATACCATTCAGCTCGTAAACCTAGCTCAGCGATCATGACCCTGGTCAGCCATCGCACCTAATGTTTCATAAAATTATCAAAAATTTCCTCAAATTCGTGAGCAGTGCTGCATAAAGCTTGACTCGCCGCAATTACGCATTCCTTTGAGCAATTAATTTGCGTCACTGCCTTTCTATGTAACCGTCTGAGAAACACGTGGCAAGCAAAAAGTGAATCAGCATGTCGTTTAGGCGTACTCACGTCAGAATTTGCACATCTTATAGCCACGCTGTTCGATGAAGCACATTTTACCACGCCAAACGTAGTTTTATAAATTTACGTTTACACCTTATGCTTATAGAGCCAGCTCTCAGGTAAGTCAGGCAAGTTGAAGCCACAACTCGCAGGTATGAGGCAGCATAAATCTTGCAAGCCCTGACGCGACCGCATAGAATACCGTCATATTTATATTTTTACA